GATATCTGTGTCGAACTACATTTATACATATTTTAAGAATACATAGAAAAAATTTTGTGGAAAAAAATTTTATATTTTTCGAACTAGACGCAATCTCCGACAGCGCTAAAAAAAGAACGTTCTCCATTACTGCAATGATTCCGGCCTTCTTCTAAGATGAAATCTAAACACAAAACTCTACTAAAAGATATTATCCGTACAGTAATCAACGGTGTAAAAAAGTCGAAAATTAACAAAGAAAAAGTTTAATTTTGGACAAAATTTTAATGATTTTTGGCCTGCCAGATTTCATATTTAATCAGGCTAAAAAACTTTACATTAAACTTCATTGTATGAAAACCTATATACAGAATATGCAGAAAAAATTTGACAGTGAAATTGGAAAAATTTAGTTTTGAAAAAAGAAACTGTTTAAGCATAAACTGATGGAACTGGGCGGCTACATTTTAGAAGCTGTAACTCTAATACTACTTGAATTTAGTATGTTATTTTTAAAGTTTTACCCCATCGAAATATATCGATTCATGAATTTCACACTAGGTGTACAGAATATTTTTCATAGTGTAACGGCATACTGCACCAAAATGAATATCGGTTCACGTCTTCCCACAACGCCAATATGCCGAATATACTATTTTATGTTAATAAATGTAGTTAATAGTAGCTATTTCATATACAAGTATAAAGAAAAGTACAACGCAAACACGTGACCTATAGTATAAGCTACTTTGAAACTATTGTTGAGCAATCAGTTCACACTTGTGCCTCATAACGAATGTTTATTTTAAACGGAACATAGTTTGGAATAATAAATTTAATTTTTTCTAATGACCATCTAATGTTCGCTGCCTCCGAACTTAGTAATTGCATACTTTTTATTGTGTTATATATACATCTAGCACGCCTTAAAATAAAATTGTCACTCAAAAAGCGGGGAAAATAAACAACGGAATCGGTTCAATACCTTTACAATTTTCTAGTCTGGCTGAACTTTTTTGTGACACTTTTTTATACGAAAAAATACTTAAAACAAAAATAGTATACTTAGTTAATAAAAAAAACAATTAGTATTATATTTATGGTTTTCATCTACTCTCTTTGCTCATAATTTACGGTCGCTACTATAAAAATTGTACTCTAAGCCCTGATTTGGGGGTTAATATAATTAAAGCAGAAAGAGCGCACATTTGCTTAATTTGTATTTTGCCGTGTCCGCCCATTAATGTATGGCACAGTTATTACTCACGTTTTTAATTATATTCATTAACGTCTGCTCTGTATGCTTTCTAGATTTTCGTATGCCTTTTCGTATCGCAATAACGATGCTATTACGCATACGATTCGCACACACATTCATATGTATTGTACATATAGACATTTGTTGATTTCAATACTTGTATATGAATGATTGTGTGGAAGTGTGCTCACCTGTTCGTTTATGCTTCAAAATTAATGGTCATAAGGGTCAAAATTATTATAATATTAATATTATTCTAAGCGTGATTCAAACATAACACACATATACATATACATATTTAAATATGTATGTATGGATATTCGGTCGTGTTTTCAAACTCATCTACTCAGAAATGCTGATATCAATTGTGATCATTATTGACGAAGTTGTGAAACTTACAAATGCACATCTACAATGCACATACATATCTACACAAACATTTATAATACATACAAGTACATGTGTTTGTACAAATTCAGCAAGAGAATTTTATGAATTATCTACATATGCATGTATATGTGGTATTTGTGTATTCGTAAATTTTTGCAATTTTCGCTTTGAGTTTAATTTGTTAATGTATGAATTATGAAATGTCTTTAGCTAAGTATTACAGTAAAATCTATTGATTGCAACGATATTGTGTGACGCAACAACATTCTGTCACACACGCCATGTCGCAGGCTGCTTCAATTTGAATATAGTATTTAGTAAATTCTATTTTAAAATTGTTTAAAATAAAGTTGCCACCTGCCAAAATTTTATTTATTCGTTTAAATTATTAAATAAATAAAGTATTACAATCTAGGGCCAAATTGTAGAGAGTTTAAGCGAGACTACAATTGCTTTCTTATAAAATTAATGTAACAGTGGAATTATTGAAATTAAAGTATTACACTAACTGATAGTAAACATCTTTAGGGTGATCTTCAAATTGTAATACATCGGACTAACTTACATCATATTTACATTTGTTACATCGTAAACATGCCACGAAAGTGTTTTTGTTACGTGAGTAGAGAATTAACTTTTAAATATCAGCATCGTAGTTTCACGTCATTAATTGAACAGTGCTATTTAGACCATTTTGGATTTACTGTGAGGAATCAAGATAAATTCTTGGTTCCACATAAATGTTGTACAATATAACGTGTGTAAGAACGCTATTTCCTAAACAAGAACCCAGACATATGCCATTTGCTATACTAATGATTTGGACCGAACCAAAGGATCGTGTAAGTGGTGGTTATTTTTGTTTGACTCAACCAAAAGGCATTACAGCCAAGTCCAAACACACTATCCAGTATCCAAACTTGTCTTCAGCCAACATACACATTCTACATAGTGCCGAACTGCCTGTGCAGTTAACTAAGCTCGAAAAGGCAGTGGATTTATATATCTGAAAGAGAAATTCCACAAACTCAGTGAGGCAAAAATAAAGAGGGTATATTTACAGGTCCACAAATACGGAAACTGATAAAGGATAAGAGTTTTTAAGAAAAACAGAAATTGATCAGGAAAAAATCGACTGGAAATGTTTTGGGAGCATTGTCCAAAATTGTCTAGGAAACCATAAATCGGAAAATTACAAAGACCTTATAAACGAATTTCTAATGTCATATATAGCTTTGGCATGTAATATATTCTTAAAAATACATATGCTGGACTCTCATCTGGATTTCTTTCCGGCAACTGCTGTCAGTGTCGTACCAGGGGAGTGGTTCCATCAGAACATTTTCTGAACGGAGAAACGTTACAAAGGGAAATGGTGCGCAGCAATGCGAGCAGATTATTGCTGGATACTTTAAAAAGGCCTTCCAGAGTCACATATTTACGAAAATGTATTTTTTCTATATTATGCAATAATTTCTCTAAATGTAGCTGATCTTTGTACTTTTCAAGAAAATATATATTTGTTTGGATGTCACAAGTAAACCTGATGTTTAAATTTTTTTTTCATTAACATATTATGGTTTAGTAGCCCTGGGACATTCAAACTTTGATATGTGTTCTTCATTTTGTTAACCAGTGTTATCAAACCTAAATGTATTTAGCAAGACTTGCATTTGATAATATTTTCAGAAGGGTTACCAGCTGTTTAAAAAAATGCAATAAAATTAAATTGAAACCAAGTGATAAATTTTTAGAAATAATATAATAAACCTTAAAAAAAATTATGAATATTAAGTTTAAACGCAAGTTACATTTTTATGGTCAGCGCAATGCAAGCCCATCATTACTTTCATTATGTCAAAAAATTAGAAAATACATATGCGATTATTTAATTTTGTAAGATCTAAATACATATGTATATATGAAGGTAATAATAAAGCTATAAACTGTTTGCAACTAGGTGGTACTAACCGCATTTTCTTCGCACATTAACTGTGAGTAACAAACATTAAATAAATTTTTTTCTTTTTTCTGGTACATATATGCTTTTAACTGTAATATGTGTTAAACAATTTTAACTGCGAACCTGAATGAACATTTTATTTAATATTTTTCCAAAAGAGGTCACATATATACATACATATGCGATGACCTTGTGAGAGGTTGGTAACTATTAGATCGAAATATTAACATTAAAAAAATTAAAAAGTGTGACTTACAATGAGAAAGGGCCTTGAAAGTTTTGAAACAAATCGAGATTCTGAAAAGTCGACTTCTTGTTGTACTTAGATTGGTTTGAAAATAGGTAGACATAGCGTATGGAGGCAAAGGGCAAGAGCTCGCATTCTTTTGAGTAATAGGAAATAATGTATCCCGTCAACAATGACAATATTCCGAAAACGGTTCTTGAAATCTTTGATAAAAAGATTCTTTAAAAGCTCTCTCTGGGTTTATAACAATAAATATGAACGTCGCTGTTGAACCTGAAAATATTTAATACAGTACTAGCTGGTGGTCCTATTGTTCAGTCCAATATTTTAACATTAAATTGAAGATTTTATTTAGCATAAAATTTTTCTATTTAGGTCGGTGAAGTATGTATCGTTTTGTTCGATAAGTTGTTGGTATTTTGAGGATAATTTCATAACACCACTCTCATAGAAACCCTCGTCGCTATTGGCAAACAACTAAGAAAATCGGTTTTTATAAGCTTCTCTAGAGAAATTTTCTTCTAGAATTTTTCACTAACAAAATCATTCGCCATAGACAAGAACAGGTGGTAGTCACTTCATGTCAGATCCAAACTATAAAAAAGATGCATAAAAATATTCCAACCAAGCTCCCAAACTTCTGGGTAGTCATTATCGATGTGTGTGGCCTGGTGTTAACCTGATGGAACATAATTACTCTTCTATTGGCCAAAGCTTTCCGCAACTGGCCTATTGCTTCCTTCTGGCGATCCAATTGTTGACACTACAGGTATGAATTAAATGTTTAATCGAAGGAGAGCAGGTCATAGTAGAAGATTTCCTGCCAATCCCTTCAAACACATAGCAAAACGTCCCGATTGCCAATCCTAAACTGGCTACCGTTGCGAGCGCTCACCGCAATTCTACCACGACCATTTTCGCTTGACGCTGTCGTAAGTGACTTTGAGTGAGGTTTTCATCGCCAGTAACAATTCGCTTCAGAAATTGATCAGTTTTGTCTCATGACATAAAGTGAAATCAGTTACTTGTGGAATGCAACTGCTTCAATATCTTCTGTGTTAGACTATACGCGTAATGATTTCATACTAATATCCGAAAGCCTATGTACATAATGAGGTTTACACACTAATTTGAACTGGGTTAAAGAAACATATCCACAAATGTTTATACATTTATATTCCTAGACTTTTATTATCGAACTTTTTAAAGAGTTCACCAAAAATTCAGTTCCACCAAACAAAATTAAATTCTTTTTTCACGTTTTCTGCTTCTGTCTGATAATAGAATATTGATAAAAATTAAGTTAACCTTTTCTTCATTCAATTAGTTTATCTGAGTCACCAGCTTCACTTCCCATTGCTGTGGAAGGTTGTTTGGAGACAACAGCTTCTGCAGACACCACTTCAGCTTTGCTAATTTCAATTTTAATTTCATCTTTAGTTTCTTCTGTAACGCTATTAACGGCTGGAGCTTCACTCTTAAGTATACTTGGACTTTTCCCTTCTGACGCCACTTTTTGGAGCAATGTTTCATCTATAATATGTTTCTCCAAAGACAACGATTCAGTTTTTGGCAAATCTACAACAAAGGGATAACTGCTCGACTCATTAGCATTATCCTGGCCTTCGTCACTGGGCATAAGACCACTCGAATTGGCGACAACAGCGGCGGCTGCAGCCGAGAGACGACTTGCCGCTTCAGGCATTATGCTTTCCCACTGAAATTTTATAATAAACTAAATGTTGTTGTACTAATAAAGTATCGAGATATGGCTATACCATCATAAAAATTCCAACCGTTATCCAGAAGGCCAACGCCAGCACTAGCACAAATTTTGATAGTTCAAGAAATACGAAAGATATCGGGCCCAGTGTTATTTTAATGAGGATACTTCTTAAGCAGTACAACAGATTTTCTATTGTGTTCGCCATTATTTTTGGTTTTGTTGGTACAGCACAACTACTATACTGCGAAATTTTGATAGTTTTTTTTTCAGATTTATGGAGTATAAATTTATTTATTTACAATTTTTTCTAAATTCTTTAATTGTCTTTTTTTTGATTTGTGATTTGTTTTGTACCGAATTCGATTTTGATTTCGAATTTGAGTTCTGAGTCTTGTAATAATTTTGTAACAAAACCGAAATAATATTACTATTTACTTAACTTAAAAAGAGATTCTTTTTAATATGCCTAAAAATATTTCAAATTTTATTTCGGCAGTAAAATCTCGGCGAATGACATACATACATACATAATCAAGATTTGGGTTGTGAACTTTTTAATTTAAAAATTTTGAACTAAAAATTAGATTTTCAATTTCTAATCCAAATATCAGAATTTAAAAATTAAAATTTAACTTTAAATCCCAACATGAGGGATCAAAATTAGATATTTTATATAAAATTAGATTTTGAATGTAAAATTAGATTTTTAAATTGATTTTTAATGCAAGTTGTAATTACAATATTAAAATTTAATTTTTAAACCCAAAATTAGAATTAAAATTTGAAAAAATACAAATCGTTTGAATATGTAAGTTTGACGATCAGTGCCAAGAGTATTGAAAATAATGGCTCTGTGCGAGCTCTAGTGAAAAAATTTTAATTCTAAAACAATTTTTTAAATTATTAATTGTGTGGTTGGGATTACGAATTTTTTTATTTTTAAATCTGGTTTTGACAGTTAAAATTTAAAAACAAGTTCTTAACCCAGTTTGGGACTACTTTTTTTTTTATTTTCATACCCGTATTTGGGATTAAATCTTTTTTTTTTTAATTCGGTATTTTTGATTAAAAATTTAAAAGTTATTTTTTATTAAATTGAAAAATTATTTTTTATCAAGATTTCGTTATTACCAAGAAACATTTATTTCAAATGTTAATTCAATTATTTTTTAAAGCATTATTTGCAATCATGTTCAAGACACATTTATGTACGTATATACATATGTGTGGATTTAAAAAACTTTAGTAAATTATATATTTTCTATAAATTTGAATAAACCCTACTACTAACAGAAAACATAGAATTCGTTTTCTATGTTATTCACAATTTTCATGAGAGCAAGATTAGTGCGACATCCGAGTCTGAAATTTTATATGTCAACGATTTCCAAAACTCTTGCATACAGATGTCCCTACTGTACAAAACAGCTGACTCATATTTACGTTTTTTTTTACATTTTCAGTACATATTGGACAAATATTTATTTATCATAAGTTATTGATAAGATTTTGTTTTTTAATAATTATATTTTAACTGGCAGAGTAAATAACTGATTACATTTAACGCTTTGAACTCTATGATACGCGCAATGTCGGATATTAATGTCAAAGCGGGCATAGAATGCATTTTAAAGCGCATCGATGAGGCTTATACACGTCGGTCGCCGGTAAATTTATTTAAATTTTAATAACTTAATTCATATTCCTAAATCTTTTGTTTTATATTAGCATATTAAGGCATCGAAACCACTGCTTGTGGCGGTTAGTAAAACCAAGCCGGTTGAAATGATCATCGAAGCCTATCAAGCTGGTCAGCGGCATTTTGGTGAAAACTATGTGCAGGAGTTAGTGGAAAAATCGCAGCACCCTGACATTTTGCAGCATTGTCAGGATATTAAATGGCATTTTATTGGTCATCTTCAGAATAATAAAATCAATAAAGTAAGTGTAACAAGGTATAAACCAGTTAAAGTGTAAAAAAAATTGTCAGTTTTATCGTAAATTTATTCCACCTCGTTGATTCTTGTTCAGTTTTTATAAAAATATTTCGATTTGATTTTGCTATATGTTCAAAATGTGAATCCATCATGGTTATAGTTTTAAAGTGTTGTAACAAATATTACTTGGAAATTTTTTTTGGGTGTAAAGTCTGTTCGGATATAATTGGAGTTAAACTACTAGAATATTTATTGGAAAAGCCATTGAATTAACAAGTATGGGCTTACTATAGTGGCAAGCATTTACTTAATCCGCTATTAAAATATATAAACATTTTTACATTAACTACTGCTACTAAATAGTTTCTACTTATATTTAATAATTTTTTATCAATTGCTTTCATTAATTTGAAGGTGCTCAAATTACCCAACCTATATATGATCCAAACTGTTGATAACGAAAGATTGGCCAACGGACTCAACACCGCTTGGGAAAAATTCCAAAGTGACAATAAAAAGCCTCTTTCAGTTTTAATACAAATCAACACTAGTGGAGAAGAAGGTAAACAAACATTTTATTAACTATGATACTAACTAATTATCTACAAATTAATTTTTATTAGCAAAGAATGGCGTGCCACCAAGTGAAGCTCCAGCACTGTACAAGCATATAAAAGAAAATCTAAAACACCTTCAATTAGAAGGTGTTATGACTATTGGCGCATTCGGCTTTGACTATTCAACTGGACCGAATCCTGATTTTATTTCGCTGATAAATGTGCACAAGCAAATCTGTGAAGAGCATAAACTGGACCCGGAGGCTCTGCAAGTGTCCATGGGCATGTCTGATGATTTTGAATATGCGGTAAATAATATTATTTTTAAATAATTTGTTAGGTGCAGTTTTGCCATCTCATTCTTAAATTTTGCGTTTCACTTCCCTTTAGATTGAAGCGGGCAGCACCATAGTACGTGTTGGAAGTGCAATTTTCGGTTTCCGTGCGAAAAAGAATGTTTAATGTACTAATATAACGGTTTCACGCACTAAAAAAGCCGATTCTTGTATGTTTAACGTGCTAAATTGCATAAAAATTTACTAAAATATACTAAAATAAGTAAAGGACTTATTAGTCGCTGTTTTGGCTTTGTAAAGTTTTACTCATTCATTGTAATAAGCTATGAAAGTGTATAAAAGCTTAAAGCGTTAAGAATATATGTATACGTATGTTTATATAACTACAATATGATTGTTTAACAATTAAAAAAACATCGTAAAATTCAGGTAATGTAGACATTGTCAGATTTTAGGATTGTCATTTTAGCAATAGTATAATGAGATATAATATCAAGAGAAAAGTGAATAATTTGCAATCAGTCTTGCTCTATGTGAAAAGTTTTCGCAAAAGCGAAGGTTTTTCCTTAACTCCCAGTATGTGGTGTGGTGCCAAACTTTTAGGAAGATTTCAAAACTCTTCAACAAATTGGAGGTGGCGCTAAACATAAAATTTAGCAACCATTTGATTAATAATTAATTAATTTTATTTATACGATTTTTTTTACAATTACAAGTGCATAGATTTATCAAACAACAATAAGTGGAGACGAATAAAAATTGTCAATACACGAGTACAACAAAAAGAAATTCACAAGGCAAGTTAGATGACAATATTGGTACTAATTATTAGTAGTTTATATTTGCAACAGTTTTCATTTGTATGACCGTCGATTCCAAGACTACTGTGGCTACGATCCACTCTGATAATTATACGAACATATTCCACAAAATTATTAAACAAGGTCGCCTAGACACCCGCCATAATTGTAAGTATCATATGTATTCACAAAATATATACATATTTATATTTATGCGGAAGTTTACAAGCTGATGATATATGCATGCATTTTCAACTGTCTCCCGACATAAATACTATTTTCTGGGCACCTAATAACCACTGCTGAAAATTTACCTTTTCTATTATTTACCAGTTGATTCATCTCTTAAATAAATTCGTTGGCCTTTTGCCAGTAAGAGTGGTAGTGTGTCTATTATGCTTGAATATATAAATATATGTATAGGTGTAGGCTTTGGGTGGAATTCACCCAAATATATTTAGTTTTTACGTTTATACGAAGGCCTGCATTTGAACATATGTACATATAATATTTATACCATCTCGTATATACAATATATACATAAATATATATGTAGAGTAAAGGAATTGTATATAGCGATGTATAGAAAAGTATTTTACCACTTGTAAGCGTAAAAGTTTTAAAATTCCATTGCGTCTATTCAATTGAAATAGTAAATTGATTATGATTGATAATCGTATGTTTCTTAAGAAAATGGAATTTATACATATATGACATCATTATTATTTCTTTGTTAATTACTATGACCAACACATACATAAACGAACTAATTTAAAAAAAATTAAAATAATTGTAGACATTTTTTGCTTTATATATGATACACATATATGTATGTAAACATTTTTAATGGTAAATCTAAATATAAAAATCTTAAACTGTAAAAAAGTAGAGGCAAAAGTGAGTTAAATAGAAAATTCTTTTCTCAAAAATTACTGAAACTATTTATCAGCTTAGGTAGGGTGAAAAATGCTTTAAGTTCCCTTAATATACATATGTACGAGTAGCGACTAAGTTATAAAAAAAATTCTTTGTTTTCTGTGATAAAATTTTGAAAAACTATATATATACATACTTGTATATACCCAATATATTAGGTTAGATTAGATGGCTGATAGCTGAAACAAAAAAAAAATACAAAATTAGTAAAAGACTTTATTTTGTTAGAAGTAGTTTTCCACATACATACAAATATCGAAAGGCTTTAATTATTACCTAAACTACTTAGCAATTGTTATGACCCTTATACTATATATACACATGCTAGTTATACATCCGTAGGAAAATCAATTTTAGAGCGAAAATCTAGTCAACGTTTGTGATTGTTGCTATGCCATTTTGTGGAACTATCATATAAATATGTACGGTATGTACAATTATATGAAATTTGTGCTTAAATTAGGCCTTAGGTAGTGTTCTCTATACAGATAAGTCATAGATAGTCTAAGTCATTGAGAATTCTTTAGTATCTTTGAAACAATTTATTATATAATATACCTATGTATCTTCTTCCTGGCGATTTTGCAGCATATTTGTTTCGCTAAAAGTAAACTCAACAGTGAGAACAATATTTAATATTGAAATTTAACCTTTATGACAAACTTTGCAGATACACTTCACATGCCTTCCTTACATTATTTCCTTCAACGTTGAATTGTTTTGTGGGTTCTGCATTTATGAGAAAACTTTATACCGTCAGAAAGAAGATATTTTAACGAAGAAAAAGCCTATAAACTTAAAAAAAAAGATATTTTGACGTTGGAATTTTCAATTGAAATTTTCTTCCTTTGCCGATATCAAATCAAAAGGAGAAAAAAATTACGGAATATTCGGTAAGTAAAAGAATTGGTTTACCCCAAATTTCGTGAAAGAAGAAAATTTAGTAAAAGAAAAAATTAAAAACTCGGTTATTTAAACTATTTCAAAAACCGTTTTGAGGTTATGTTAAAAACGTGTTAATTTAAAAGTTGTAGAACTTTTTATTACTTACTACTTTGAAAATAGCCGTTTTTAACCCTTAAAAATTCAGTAACCCCCCTCCTCGTCCTTTCCTGAGCTCAGATCGCCCATAAAGTACTTTTCTATTAATTTGTATTACTTCTTACAATATTTCCATAGACTTCAGCAGTGGCCTGATCACCGTAAGCCATGGCAAATAATTATAGTGTTTTAAAGTTATTTTAGCTTTATTAAACTATAAATTTATAGGAATTTTAACAGATTTTTGTCATTTTTGAAATATAAATTCATATATAATAATAATAATAATAATATAATAATAATAAAAATAATAGCCCAACGATTACCCTCCTCCAGCCCAACCGACGCGAAAGGCGCAATCCGCATATGTGCGGAATTAGCCGAGTCAGAAAAGGCAAGAGAGTTTTTTAAGTGTTGAGATCTAAAACTGCTCAGCTACAGATACAAAAATTTTCAACAGCTAAGATTTATAGTTACGATATAATAAATTGTTAAATTTTCATTTATTAAGAGAAAACAATAAAGTCTTTTTAATTTTGAAAAGTGAGTCAGATAAGTCAAATGTGCTGGAATGAGAATTAAAATCATGACATATACGGCGGAATGCTTCGTTTAGTTCGAAATTTTATCTACAGGATTTTAACTTTAAAGGTCTTAACTGCCTCGAAAAGCGATCCGTGACATTAAATTTAATTTTAGACAGGAGAAAAGAACTGCAAACTGTTCCATTCAAGATTTTCACTAAGAATATTAAGCCAAGCATTTCCCTACGACTAGAAAGTGTAGGTAGATTTATAAGTTTTAAACGACTAGTGTATGGAGGTAGACTTACGCTAGAATCCCATCGGAAATGCCCTAAGGCGAAAAGTAAAAATTTTTTTGTACAGACTCTAACTTGTCAGAATGAATTTAGTAGCTAGGGTTCCATAGAACAGACCTATATTGCAATATAGGTCTAACCAAAGTTGTATAAAGTGTATATATATGTATGTATATAAATAAATAGTCTTCCTATTCATCGAATATATTATTATATAGATAAAAATCTTTCTAATAGAGCAAGACACAACCACTTATAATAAACCCCCATTGCGGAAGTCTACTGAAATAAAATTGCCGATTACCTCGCGTTGGATATTATAAAAGGATTTTACTCCACGGAAAGCTACTGAAGCTAGTGTACTTGAAAACGTATATAACAAAACTGAGTTTACAATTTTCGTAAGCGCTGCTTGATAGTAATCGATTATATACACAAAATGCCCACGACCGACTCATTTGCAAGCAGTATCCACTCGTAATGTTAATCTTGTTGAACGGTAACTATACTTGCGTTATTATAGTTACGTAATAGGGTCGATCATTTATGCCACTATGTCTATTTTGTAGTCTTTCTTGCAAAATTTTTACAATACGTGACTACTTTAATAAACACTTTAGGAAATTTAAGGATGATGTAACGTAACCTAATATTGCAAATAGGCATAACGATGCTCAAAAAACGGCCAATTGTTAGAGTTGCAATAACTTGGTACGAAAATAACCTAAATCGATGCTTACCTATCATATGAAATATTTTTACTTTAAAAATCAAAGGCTTCAACTGTAATAGAAATATTATACATTTCAAAACAGTATTGCTAATGCTTAATGTGTTGACTATTTTGACTGGACTTCTTTTATGGCGGTATGTGAAGTCGCTTGTCTACGCATATAAGCCCAAGACCATTGACGCTTTGGTAGAGAATTTCGGCGCGTTATTGCTAACATACGGCCCCAATTACTGCAAAAAGTGGTCGAAAAATTATGCTCTAGACTGGAATTTATTCGAGCCAGCCGCTGCGATAATTTGTACGATATTATTTTTAAAACATAATGTAAAGCCCTTATCTTTATAATAAAGTCTAATTCTTGGCCATAACATTAAATTGGAAGCGTTTTATTTTTAGGTTTAGAAAACCTAATGTCCATAAAAAACACCTCTTGAATACTATACATTCCCTTATTTTAAAGATAGTTGAGAGTTCTTAAATTAAGTAATTGTGTTGCTCTTTTAATACCTAGTACCTATAATCTATGTAACTGGGTTTAAACTTCATGCAATACATTACATTAGAAATATTTGTATACATACTTCCCTAAACTTGTTTCGTATCTTATAAATTTCGTTTGACGCCTTGTGAAAAAAACTTAATATTGAGTTAAAATACAGTTTAGAAATATAAGTCTTTAAAGAGATTCTTCAAAAGTAAGTTTTTGTTTCACTAAAACGCAAAAACCTTGTGTTACGGCGGAAAGAGGAGTGTGGTTACATGAATAAAGAGAAAAGTGGCGATCATGAGAAAAGAACCTGTAGAGATATTATGTGTGCCTGTAACTACGTAAACCATGCGCATGTGGTAAAAGCGGGTTTGAGATAAAAGATCTATCTTATTAATTTTCCACGAAGTTTGTAAAACTCAGAAGGAAACGTCGCAGACCGTATAAAGTATCAGCGTGATGAGCTGAGTTCATTGAGCTATGTCCGTAAATCAGTTTTTTTTTTTACTTTTCTCTTCAAGAAGCTTGTATAGAAAACTTTTATATTTGACAAGGTATCTCCATGAAAATTAGAATTGTCTAATACAATGATATAATCTCCAAAAACATTCTTCAGATTTGACTACTATAGCATATAGCTGTCAAACAAACTGACCGCACTTGTGAATGGTATTATAACTTCAGCCGAAGTTAAAGTTTTTTCTTGTTTTTTATAAATATTAAAATTTATATGCTTAAATCAGCAGTAATTGATTGATAGACGCCTTAACTAAAAATAAATTGAAATGCATTTATTATATAATTAAATTATGCTTGGATAACACAATTATATAATGTATAAGTATGTGTGTGCGAATGTTGTGCATAACATAAAAATATCATAATAAAAATAGTCTTGAGTTTCAGTAACACGAAAGATATTTAGAAATGCAAAAAAAAAGCAAAACAAAATATGTTATTGCACAACCGATTGCTCGACAATATTCAAACTTATACCAACATATGTTTTATGCATATAGATGTACATACATACATACTAAACAATATGTACAAGTGTTACTCAACCGATTGCGTACGGCGGCCGAAATCTTATAGAATGCCACGGATTCGATTCCTAGATTCTTTTTAGGGTGTGGGAGAGTAAAAGTCTTTGTGCACCACATATGCGTATGTATGTATGCAAGTATATAAAATATTTAATATGTATATATTAGATATATGCGCCAAGGCAGAATATACCATATAACATAGTAGAATGCTTTGGTCCGTAGGTGCTTTCGACCGAATTTAAATTTCGTTCATAAAATAACAAAAACAAGTTCAAAATAAAATTAAAAATAAAATGAAAAATAAAACGCATAAACATTAGATGCTTTCAAAACCACTGACGAAATTTCGTTTTCGTTGGTACAGAATTTTCGATCAGGCCAACACATCGAAATATACCACAAACATACTTGAGTATATACTTGCATACTTATATATATCTATATACCTATGTATATTCAAGTATGTGAGTTCTATAAGTACATACACCAGATCGCGGTGCGACAGAGCGAAACACTAAAAATTGAGAAAAAGAAGAAGAATTGGTTTTTAAAATTAGATTTTCATCGAGCATCAAAAAATGCGCAGAAAAAGTGCGCATACGGGCACAAACACAAACATATGTCCAAATACATTGATATACGCACCAAGCCAAAATTTATGTAGGGTTGTGTACGAGATACAGGCATGAAAGTGGCCAATATACCCCACCAAGCAGCCGGGCGAACCACAGCACGGCTACTAAAAAAGGTAGCACGAATATGTGAATGCACGAATGGAAAATCCGACGCATGAATATAGTTCGGCAATGCGGACCAAAGGCCGAAACAGCATAAGATGGCGCTATATTAATTCTAAGAGGTGTAAGGGAAGGTGGCAAACTGATTGAAAAAATACCTGTGTATGTGTATTTGTGTGCGCAGGTGTATTGGTGTGTGTGTGTGTGGTTGGAAAGAATCGAGGCGCAAATTCTACAAAAGAAATGATGTCTTCCCGATAAAATCAGCCAGAACACTCAGTGTGCTCTGACCGCTCGATCCGTTTAGACAGCACAGAAAAAAGTTCAGCATCATGGTAAGGACTCACTATGGACTAGCCTTGTTTGTGGACTTATGAACTTGTGCACAAAGCAAAGGATATAAAGCAAAATTAAAAAAAAAAAATTAAATGATTGAATATACAAATAATTACACAAAACAGTAAAGTGAATGAAGTAATGCACGCAATGAATGGAATTCGAACGAAGTAATTTTGGAAAAGTGATATAAAATTGAAAATGGTTCAGAAGTGAAATTAGTGCTCAAATACCGATTAATATAATATTGAAAATCAATTATCAGTGAAATTATATAAATAATTCTGAAAAATATCCCTTTTTTGAATGAAAAAAAATAATATTTTTTTTTCAAAACTTCCAATTGTCGAAATTTTAAGTGATCAACGCACGCAATTGGACATACTTCCTTCAAACACTAGTGCATGCGTACATAGAAATACATAGACTATGACGAAATCAGACTTCTATGCGTTACTCGATTGTTTCATTTCATGTTACTATAAATGGAATTCGTAATACGATATAACTATACATACACACATAATGTGAACATTAGCGGTGGCCAACTAAATGGTTTTTGCTTTAGTGGAAAATATTTTAAATTGCGTAATTGTTTCAAGATTTAATTAAATGTGATGAAAATATGAAATAAATCACACTTTAATGCAGTTTTTATTTTATTTTTACATATTTAAATATTTTTTCTTTAAAAAAGTTTCACTTTAAAATATTTGTACCAAATTAAAAAAAATCCTAAAAAAGGCCGAATCCTTCTGAATGTTTTATTTCAAATTATTTAACCATAATATATTCCCTAGTTTGAATACTTCACATCACTGCTGTTTACAGTACTATTATGCCTTACTGCAATAATTTACTGAAATTTGTGTAAATATTTGAAAAATTTTCGACTTTCTTTTTAATTGTTGAAGTCAATGTCTTTAATCGTAAACTTTTCAATATCTAATAGGCCGATGAGAAGAAGAAGGTTAAGAAGAAGAAGACCAAGGAAGAGGGAGGTACTTCTGAAACCGCTTCTGAAGCCGCATCTGAGGCCGCAACCCCAGCACCAGTGGCTACTCCAGCTCCAGCTTCAACCACTGGATCGAAGAGAGCGTCAGGTGGCTCACGTGGCTCAAAGAAATCGAAGCGCGCTGGTTCCAGCGTGTTCTCTGTTTTCTCGCAGAAACAAATTGCCGAATTCAAGGAAGTAAGTACAGTTTGTGTGTTACAGTAAAGATTTTTCCGCTTAGACTAACATAGATTTAAGTGCTGATATGAAATTAACACCGTGTGACAGTTACTAATACCATCCCTTTTTATACCTGCTTTCCCATAGGCTTTCCAACTAATGGATGCCGACAAGGATGGCATCATTGGCAAGAACGATCTGCGTGCCGCTTTCGATTCCGTTGGCAAAATCGCCGCCGATAAGGAATTAGACCAGATGTTAGGTGAAGCCTCCGGCCCCATCAACTTCACACAATTGTTGACCTTGTTCGCCAACCGTATGGCATCAGCCGGTGCCAATGATGAAGATGAAGTTGTCATTGCCGCTTTCAAAACATTCGATGTCGATGGTCTCATTGATGGTGAAAGTTTCCGTGAAACACTCATGAACTTTGGTGATAAATTCAGCGCCAAGGAGTGTGACGATGCCTGGGATCAGATGGTTATTGACGATAAAAATCAAATCGATACCGCCGCCCTTATTGAAATGCTCACCGGCAAGGGTGAGGAAGAAGAGGAGGAAGCCGCAGCATAAACAGCTTTACACTGCACTCTAGCAACAACATCAGCAAACAAATAAGTAAAAAAAAAAATAAAAAATTATATATAATATATAAAAATAACCTTAATACAAAACACTAAGATCCTGTTTTGAAAACCAAAAAAAAAATGTATCTTTACTTTTTTAAAAAAAAATAATTAACAACATATTTTGTGTGTAAATTTACGCATTCAGTTATTTAAAAGAAACAACCACACCTTTTCTTCAGAGAAAAAAAGCATAACGATAAAAAAAATAGTCCCTATATTAGTGAGCAATGAAACACTGAACAGTTAACTGAAAGAAAAGCAACAAATGTGTAACTGCGTAAAGAAAGTTTCGTTACATTTTGCATTGTACTCAAAGATGCGCGTCTCCACCAGCATTTGGTATATGTCAAGCAACAACTGGCAGTTAGTTTTTTAGTTGATAATTTAAATTTTATAAAAAACCAAACTAAAAAAAAATACTTAAATTATTTTATTTTAGAAAAAAACTAAAAACCAAAAAACAAATAAGAAAAATCAACAAAAAACTTAAAAACAGAAAACTTTCTAAGATTTTTATTTGTTGTAGCAGACTTTTCCACCAACCTCAACAACAGCAATTATCAAAATTCTTTGCACACTCAATGTAGGGACGCGTGTTTTAATCGTCACACATGGGAATTTCAGCGTAGGTTAAAGGCAACCAGTGTAGGCCATTAATTATTAATAACTATTAGAAACAATGCACGTTTATTGTTAATAACTATTATTGCGAATAAGCTTATTACGAATAGACAAACAAGAAAGGATGTAGTAATGAAGAAGAAAAAAGAAACACTTAATCATTCACCAAAATATCAAAATATCTTAAACTATCACTCATCACTCTCACTAAGCTATACCTATAAATAATGCTTTTCGCCTATATTTATTTTAACACATATATATATATATACATACCTATCACCAAAATATCGAAATGTACGCATGAAACCTAATTTATAAGTGCTTACAAATTTTGACAAACAAGATCTATAACCTTACACGATTTAGTACATATATCTAAAAATCTATATGTGTTTTTGAAGTTCTATATATTTATTCATACGAACCTAACCTAACTTTAGTTTTGTGTTTTGAAGTTCAATAATTATTGTTATAATTCCTACCCTATCCGTTTATGTTGTTTTGAACTATTTAGTTTAGATTTATTAAACCCTTACCCGATCCGTGTATGTTTATTGAATTTCTATATATTTATATATATATTTAACGTTATTATATATACACATATATAAATGTGTGTGTTTTTTTTGGAATACTAACCCGATTTTATGAGAAACGATCATTAAATATGACGATTATAGTTAAACTTACTAAACATTTGCGCGTTACTTTGAATATTCTTAACACTTTTTGTCCATAAAACAATTGAAAAAATATTAGGAAAATATATACATATAATTTATTGCAACACTGAGTATATGCACTTTATATGAACATGAGATGATTATGTCGATTTTTTGCAATTTACCAAAGACTTACATATATATTGCAGTTATATTCAACTGAGAAAGCGTTAATGTTATAATTATTTCAAACATTTAAAGATTTTTGAATAAATATTTACAAATACTTAGCAAATGCATGTTTGCTTTTAGCAATTTTAAAATAACATTTTAAAGTGAACCATCCCTTGGAGAACTTATACATATATAACGAATTTAATGTGAAGAAATATAAAAATAAAATAAAAATCAAAAAAAAAAATACGAATACAACATGCATGTTTAAACTTATTATTTAATCACATATATACTATATACATATTGCATAACTTATGATGAATTCTATATAAATTTCAATTTAATTCAATTGTTCTACTACTAACACACAAGTATAAACGAAGTATATTCATACATATTATTTGCAAGCGCTATTGTGCGATTATATACAATATTTATATATATATACGTATTTATATAACCGAAACATTTAACAATTTTGAAATTTATGCACTAATAATTTACATACTTGTGTTTGTATATACGTTGCTAATCAACGATTAGCTGTTATATGAAAAGAGAAAAAACTTTAGGAAGTCTAATGATTATTCACAACAAATTACAACTGATAAATATTGAAAATTCTACTACTATTCATATATAAATTATTACATATATATATATATATAAAAGAAAATATTAGTTATTATTTGCCTGGTATATGTTTACATATATGTATATATGCCAAGAAAATGTTTTACTAAACAATTTTGAAAAAAAAAAAAATACATATACACGTATATATTTACTAACCGTATAAAATACTTAAAAATATTACACTCACATGCAAGCAAACAACGAACATTAATGAAGACCACAAGCACGTAATATTGAAAAAAAGTATTTTATTGTAAATGTATATACACATAAATACATATATATATATATATATATAATAAATATACATATATATGTATGTGTATATGCATATATTTACCATAAAAATAGTACATCAAGTACATAAAGAGCGGCAAAACCGAACGATGCTACTATATAGTATCAGAAATCTTTAACTTATTTAAACGTGCACTCAAATTCTTTGGAATTATCTATTATTTATATAGCATATAAGCAAATAGACACGCTCTAGTCCTTCGATTGCTTATAACAACACAAACTAACTGTATGTATTTTATAAACTGACCAAACTTGTGCTAATGCTATAAACATTTTTTGCAAATATAACACTGTTACTCAAACTGCAAACGAAGTGTTTAACATGAACAGTTTAAAAACGAAACACACACACATACACTTATATACAGAAATAATTTTAGGGCGTGTTAGGTTTAAACGCATTCAACATCTTGTGCTGAATAGAGATTTTTTATTGATTTTGAGTGTAGAATGCTTTTAAAAATTTTAAAGAATTTATTTAAACTGTTTATTTATTAATCAATTGAAATGTCCCTTTACATATATATACGTTGCATATAATGCAACTTAAAGGCATCTCTAGCTATTATTAACTCTTAATTACAAAACATTTAAATATTTTAATTATAAACCCACAAAGTGAACGACGAAATTTTTAAGTATATAAAATTATATTAGTTTGTAGCTATTCATATATATTGAGAAAGAGGGCTAAAATCATGACAAATGAATACTATTAATCCATATAATATAATGACTCTGACTTTTATAGACAAATTGTTATGAAAAATAGAAAAAAGAAGAAAAAAAAACAGCAACAGTTGTAAAACATCTAACAACTGTACATAGAAAAATAATATCCAACGTTAACAAAACAAAAAGTATATAGCAAATCAAGATGACTTCAAAACATAATCAAACAAAATACTAAACCAAGCTGAATAAAACAACTTAAGTCATCTATAGAACAGCAAAAGAAAAAAAAGAACGCTTGTTTCATTTATGAGTATATCACTTTGCGTGCACTCAAGCGGATATGACGAAAAATTAGTTAAATTTTTTATAATTTTTTTTTATACATTTTGTTTTGTGTTTTCTTCTTTAACATTTTTGTTTTTATTTTTAATTTTATTATTTACAACATTAATTTTTTTTTTGTATTATTGCTTAACAGGTACTTGTGCATACACGTATAATGAGAACGAAAATCATTACTAAAAATTTGTCACGTCTTCTTCAAACTAAAAACGCCAAAAACTAATGCATAAAGTTTTTACAATAACAATGTCATACACAAATTTCATTCGCTAGTTTATTACAACAAATCATATATAATATTTGTATAGTATGGATCGAACGGATTACGATGCCACTACATATGTACGAGCATATAATGATTTAGGAAAATTGAGAGTTACATATACACATATACTCGTATTATCCCATATTGCGTAGGTGGAACATAATAACCTCAATAACCAAGATACGAAATTAACATAACTTTGCACAAAACCCATGTTTAGAGATCACATCAAATCTTTATGTCGGTTTATTTAAATTAGAGTAGATCAAAAGAGATTCTGAAAATTCTGAAAAATCTAGAGCTTTTTTATCTTATGGTTTGCGAAAGTGTTATATTATAAATAAATATCTCATACACTTGCTACACCCGTGTCCAAATGCGCTGATCACAGGTTGGATGCCTATTCGGTTAGGCTGTTCGACGGTTCTTATAGTCACAATATCTAAATTGAAAGCAGCATTCACCGCTCGACAAGCAATAGCATACTTAGAATAGAGAATTTTTTCCTAGAAAAATCTACCAGCATAGAAGAGGCGACAAAAGCTTTGTCTCCACAATTTAGAAGATTACATCAAAACGAAGCGCACAAAATGGTGTGATTGTTTGGGCAAACACTTGACTGGAATTTCATTTTACTTGGTTGAAATAGTATCCACAGTGAGCCAGAAGTGCTTGACTTTTTAGCAATTGAAGAAAAATGTGACAAACTTATTTTTTTGAAGTCTGAACTCATTTTTATGGGTATTACCAGTACCTGTTAAGTAGTAACTATGCTAAAATCATGTGTATGCAAGTTTTTTTGACGTCGAGCAAATTTGTATTGAAAAGTAAGTATTTTCAAACAACTGAAGATTTTGCTTCGTTCCTTTGTCGATGAATTCTTGAAGGTTTAACCCTTACTGCTGAGAAATAAAAACGGGCGTCCCATGGTACATGCATGTATACTGAAGATCCTTATTGATCCGCACTGGTCCATATAAACTGCGCGTGCAATTCGAGTCGATAAAAAATGCTATACTAGATTGATATAATCTGCATTTATGTTTGTGTGACGTTTGATCTTCACATGTCAATTAGTGTGTGTTTTGGTTACTTTAACACGAATACAAATTCGTATATTTGAGTGGCACAAAGCTTTCTGTGAAGGTGATTTTTTAGAGAGATCAAAGATAATTTTGAGTTTTTGCGAAAGTCAACGCATGTTCCCAACCGCGTCTCTAAAATCGGTTTCTTCATTGTTGTATATGGATTGGATGATTGGCTTACTTCGATATGAGGTGACCGTCTGAAGGAACACTGCTCATGAAATTGGTTGAATATAAAGATGGCTCAGTGTGATCTCAGCGATTATGATCATCATTATTGAATTCACGGAAACGTTCAGAGAATTTTGTAAAAATTTAACTGAAATGACTTATTAAGCTATATTATATGTCATAGATTCATTTAGTTTTATTGTTATAGTATACTTCGCGCCAGCTAAAATTATATTGGAAACATCATCAAATATGGTATAAACTCTACCGGAGAGGATAAATTTAATATATTGATAAAACGTCCAACAAACGGTTTATAGTCAGCTGGAATGGGTATATTGCCGGCATTTCTGTTATATGGGAAGTGGGCGTGGTTGTAATCCAATTTCGCCCATTTTTCCACTGTAACATTGGCATGTCAGGATAATGTTACTAACCAAATTTGAAATCAGTCAAGTAGATCCCGAAATATGGATTTTCACCTAAAGGTAGGCAGTGCCACGCCTATTGTTCAATTTTGTATTGACTCCTATTAAACTTAATTGTACCATCCTATGTGTAAAATTCAAAGTATCCGATTGTTTATTTCACACATATTCACACTGTCGGGGTGCTAAAAAGAATTGTCCTGAGTAAATTTGATTATTATAGCTTTAGTGGTTTAGGAGATTTGCATATTAAACTTATTAGATGTCGGAAGGACGCTCACTTAAAAAAAAAAAATTTAAATGCAAATGCCCCTCCAAAATGTGAATCGTTGTACTAAATAACAGTTTTTTATCTTATTGTGGAGCTTAGTTATAGCAATTTATTGGTTTTCGATTAATCGCGTTTTGTGGGCGTGGCAGTGATCCGACTACGCCCATCTACGATTCTAACCTTCCAATGGTTCAAATGATATCTTAATTTTTTCTGAGGTTACAGCTTGCACAGTCGGATGGACGGATGCATGGACAAACAGTCGTCCGGATTTCAACTCTCTTCACTTGATCATTTGTATATATATATATAACCCTATATCTAACTCGATTAGTTTGATGTGATACAAGCAACCGTTAAGTGAACCAAACTAGTATACTCTGTAGCAACATATTGCGAGAGAATAATAAGCTACATTTATAAAAGTGAATGCACTTTAATAATCGGTAACTTATTTTGCAAAAATTTGGGTTACCTTGATCCCGTAGCAGATCTCCAGGAGGACCTCCGAAAAACAGTAGAAACAAGGAATATTTTCTGCTTAAAATTAACTCAAATCGAAAAACAAAAAACACAAAATTTTTTATAACAATAAAATACAGGTAAAGATCGAAAGGCTGTCAAAATTTTGATTTTTGACAAAATAGCGGCTTTCTGCAAAAGGTCGTTTTTTGTGAAAAAATTTAAAAAATTAAAAATTAATCTTATTCCTTCATCATTATTTGACAAACACATATGTATATCTTAGAAGTTCCTGTAAAAAATTTAAGTCAATCGGTTCAACCATTTCAGAGTAATTTTCCTTACCGAATCTAAAAACAGCGTTTTCAGAATAACGCGTTTAATTTTTTCAGATTTTCGGATATTATTCCCAAGTATATGTACTCGATATATAAGCTTATATTTATATTTCGAGTTTTTGAAATTTACAAGTGGATATAACTCTTAAAATTCAAGCAATTCGAGTAATTGCAACTTTATTAATAGGACTTCCTATCGTAAAAGAAACAGTGACAGTTGTATTGGGCTTTTATTAGCCCAAATTATTGCAGAATAGTAAGATGAAACGGAATTGTTAGCTGCACTAAGTAAGTATAATTTTTTGCACAGATTGGCGGATATAAGTAGTTAACTCAGGAAAAAAAATCGGGTTATGCTCTCTTAAGCCAATAATTTTAATACAATTTAACGAGTATTTATCCAGTCAATCATTATAAAGATGCAGTATACAAGTTAAATTTTTGAACACCTAATATACACTGTCTGGTTAATATGGAAAGGGCAGCTCAAAGTTTTAAATAATTTGCTCCTCAACGCATACTCAACTATCATTTTGTTTATTTGTTGCATGTAGATATTAGATATAAACAGTTAAACAACAACAATACTACCGGAATAGCACTTAGAACAACAGCAGCTTCAGTCAAACCACTTAAACAGCTGATTTCTTCAAAACCAGTTTCAAAGTTACTTCACAACCCATAGTACATAGCAGAAGCGGAAGAGAACAACTTTCGTTACGAAAGCACCAAATGGCCAATTCTCTTTCGAACCAACTCGAATGCGTTTTTAAGTCGACTTCAACAGACCTACCATGGCTTTGTTGAAGAAAACCAGATTTAGTTGTGCGTAAAACGTTAATGAACGACTTTGCAAAACTGTCAGCAGTGGCGATTTGTAGAGGAAATTTCGACACGATGTGATAGTGAAAGGAATTTTTAATTAATTTTTTTCAACATAATTTGTTTTTGTTGTACGATTGTGCAATATTTTCTTAACGCAATTAATGTTAACCTACGTGTAAATATTTTTTTGATATTAAGTATTTGTAAATATAATGTTGGTACAGAAAAACAAAATGAAGTCTCCAGGCAGTTATATATTGCTATTAGTCATCGCTGCTTGCATATTGTCGCAAAATATTGGTGAGTACGTAAGAAAGTAGGATCCAAGGGCGTTAACAAAATACAAATAAAAATAAATATTGGAAAAAATGCAAGAAAAACTTAATGCTCGGTTGCCTTTTCTTCACATTTCTTAACAACTATTTTAAGCGATCGCTTACTACCACAAAGACTGCATCTTCGTAACTTGTATACTCGTTAACGCACATTGTACCTTACGCCTTTTTTCTTCTATGTCTAATTACTTCTTTTATCGTGTTACTGTTTTCGTGGTTATTTCGTAAATAGTCGGCGCACAACAACTAATCGCGTACCTCTCTCAGCACGGTCTACATGGTGAGATTACCTTTCGTCAAGTGAATGCAACAACTGTGGAGATCAACGCCAAACTAGAAACCACGTTACAATATCCGGATCAGGTATGGAGTTGGGGTGTCAGACAGTTTCCAGTAGATTATACTGATATTGATCCAGAGTCGCGTTGTAGTGGGGAGCAATTAGGTGCACAAATTGTGAATTTCGACGATGAGCTAGATTTTTTGGTATTGCCCGGAAATGAGTCAACTACCTGGTATCGTGATATGACTTTAATAGGTAAGACAAATACTTTTACACAATACTTACAAAATTAAATTAAATCTTGCTGCATTGCAGGTGAAACTGGTATTTGGGGTAAATCTCTCGTTCTAACCGAGGTCAGTTCGCATACGCGCATTTGTGCTACTATCACCACAATCCAGATGTCGGTGGAGCATATGGCAGAGGCGCGCTTTAACACACCCATTGCGGGCTCTGTACATTTT